GTAGTAGTAGTAGTAGTAGTAGTAGTAGTAGTAGTAGTAGTAGTAGTTGTAGTTGTAGTTGTAGTTGTAGTAGTAGTAGTAGTAGTAGTAGTAGTTGTTGTTGTTGCAGTTGTTGCTGTTTAACTGTTTGTGTTGTTTGAAACCGAGATTCTACATTAAGTTGTTTCTCTTTTCTTTTGTTCAACTGCTGCACTCTCTTGGTGCAAACTGGTCCTGAGTCATCCTGAGGCAGCTGGATGTTTTCCGCAACGATCTCTACACCGACTTCTTTGCGAAGTGTGCTGCAAGTCAGGATATTTTCAAGCAGTCCGGGCCTGAAATTCTGCCAACGCCGGCTTGATTCGCCAAGGCATGCCAAGGGCGATGTGTTTGTGGGAAAACTTGTGGATCCAGACGGATCCAGGAACATCAACGCAAAGCTGGACACAATGTGTACAGGACATGGCAAACACACCGGCATAGACCTCATCTATTACATTTATTGAACGATGCCTTAAGCGAGCCAGGCGAGCCACGCAGAGACTCCTCCTTTATCTCCATGAGAAACCATTTTACATCCTTTTGCCAAGTAATCATGAATTATGAATTTACAACTTGGACTCATTTTGTTACTCATTTTGTTTGTAACCTCATATATATATATATGATATGTGACATTTAACTCAGACTTCTGAGTCTGGACTCATCTTCATTACTCATACAGTATGCAGGAGTCCAGAGACTTCGTCTCGTCAGAACACCCAGGTCGCAGACCCGGCTGCACTACATCGCCGACCGCGTGCTGCAGTCGTCCTATGAGATGTTCCACACGCCCAAGAATGACGCTTGTCATGCAAGAAAACCAACATACCTGTAATATCCTGCTGGCTGATTTTTTGTTGGTAGTTTAACATACCTTTATTTAGGTCTGTGAACCACATATAAACATCCGCAACCAAAATCAACATCCGCTGAATTATACCGGCATAGACCGTCTAGACCCCAGATATTGGTCAATGACCGCGGTTTTTTGGTGTTCCAAAGGCTTCCACCAGCTTCAGCCGACTCCTCCTGCGAAGCTGAGCTCCAGTTTGACTTGAATTTGTTTGGGGTGACCTCAGAGGAAGATGAATGGAGCAAAGGGTTCGGAATCCCTCCGAGTGTCGGCCATCAGGAAATGGTGGACGAACTTTCTGCGCTGGGTTTGCGACATGTAGGCGCGGCAATATTCGGGGCCTGAAGTCTCGCATTGTCATGGACACCCGTCTGAAGTTTACCATTTATACAAAATGATTTGTTCCCATTGACTGCATTGTTGCACTTTTTTGGTTTGAGGTTTTTACGTTGGAAAAAAAACCTAGCACCCTTCATACATCCTTCATATACAAGTTTTGTTGTTCTTGTTTTAGTTGAATAAATTCGCAAGGTGGTGACCTCTTTAAGGCGACTGAAATAGCACATCCCATATCTCACATCTCGATTGTTAGATGCTCCAAACAGCCCTTTTTGTCCCTTCGATCCTTCCAGTCCGGATTTCGGGTCCCTTTTCGCTCGACCGCGTCCGGAACTCCGTCCCGTTCGTGCAGGTTATGGCGTTCCCATCGAGCTCTTTGCGCCCTTCACCGACTCCTGCGTCACCGTGGTAAAGGATGTGGTCTCCAAAATGCCCAAGAGCGCGCCGCGGCGCAAACTTTGGGAACTGGGCAGGGTTGGGAGCTGGAGGAGTTGGTGGAGGATGTTGATGTTGGGTATGTTTTTTTGGGGAAATGCACACGGCACACAGATGTTGCGCGAGGTTGTTTATTTTTTTGTTTGTGGGCTGTGGGAGTTGTCCAATGATGATTCTTCTTCAAGATTGCGGACGCCAAGTGTTGTCGGCCACTTTCCCTTAGGAAAACCTGGGAAAACAAAGAAGCATCTAAGATGGTGATGCTCGCGGGCCTGTGGATTTCATCCATGTTTGTTCCGGTCGCAGGTGCAGGTCAGAGAGTCGGACAGTGGGGCCACTGCAGCCACTTCCCAGTGGGGCTTCGCTTGCAGAAGGCAGTTGAACCCTCCAAATGTCAGCCCAAACATGTTCAATTCACATATAAGTTGTTTGGTGGCAGTCATGTAGATGTGATTGGTTCTTAGTGGATCACCCAAAGGAATTTTTCCCAGAACTCGGCTTCGATTGCATGCTATGATGAAGTATTGCACATCACACCTTTGCACGGAGTTATAGCAACTCCTTTCCACATATTCTGAATATAAAGCCATATAAAGCCTAAGACCAAGTGTGGCAGTGTAGCAGCTCACTTCATCACACGGACTTTTAATACGACTCCATGCAAAGAGAAAACATAACACATACAACCTATAAAACTACGTGTATATATATATGATAGTCACTGCATGGGTGATGAAGCCAGGCATGCATCAGGCATGCAGCCGGAAAGTGTTATTGTTTCAGTCTGGAGCCAAGACCTCCGATCCGCCGATCTGTCACAAAAACGCTGCCCAGGAGTCCACGAAGATTGTGACGAACGCGCCGGGGCTTCTGCAGGGTGTGGCTGTGCCTGGGCTGGGTGGGATGGGGCCCAGCATTCTCCAACAGGCCTAGCGGCCTGGATGGCCCTCAGGCCCATCTCAGACCCTTCTTTCATGTTGTGGGAAAAGAAGCAACCCTTTTTCGCCGTTGGCATTCTTACCAGTCAATCTTCAGAAGAGGGTGAAATGGTGGAACTGAGCTGACCCTAATAGAACTATAACCTTGAGTGTGTGCTCTCACTAAAGGAACAGAAGGTGTCAGGTCAACAACATTGTTTGGATGCTGCGTTTACATGCGGTTTAGGTGCAAGATGTCAATATGATTGGAAGATAAGCTTTGGAATATCAGTTCAACACCATTGTTTGGATGCTTTGTTTCCATGCAGGTTAGATGGAATGTGACCAACAAGTTTGAAGATAATCGACGTGGGGAGGTGGATACCTCGACTCGCGCGGCGCTCGCGTCAGGTTCGAAAAGACTCGCACGGCACTCTCGCCAGTGTAGCCATGTTTCCGACGAAAACAATGTTTTTACACAGTTCCTACTATTGCGTTCTGATTGGGTTTCGGTCACCAAAACGCTGCACACTTCGACATACATCTAGTTCTTTTGTGCGCAGGGGCAATGATTTCTTGATGTATCGCAGTTTTGACAAAGATACTTCCGTAGAGCGTTTACATGGTGTTTTAACATAAAACGGGTGACTCTTCGCAAGCCGGGCGACTTTTGACTAATGCTGCGTTTACATGCGGCCGGGTGACTTTCTGCAAACCCGGGTGACAAAACCCCGGCGCTTGTACTCCATGGAACGCACCAAGACCTGGGCTAAGAGTCTTCTGATTATGTACATTTATATATAAAGTTATAATTACATTACAGTTGTTTTTGTTAATGCTTGGACTGCTGAGCATATACCCTGCCGGTCGTCGACCATTCTAAAAAAGGCTGTTGACAGACCGACATTTTTATCAAGCAACCGCCATTTTTTGGTGGGTTTTTGAAGACCTGTGCTTTGCTCCGCTATCTCTTTTGCTCAGAAATCTTCGTTAAGCTTCACTTTACACTTATAGTCGATAAAGAGTTTCAATTAACTTACCAAGCTAGCCCTGGTGGGGCAATTGCCACGACAACAGGGGCCTACCCTATTTATAGCACCTGCTTGGCACCATGTGCCACTCTGATGGCCTGACTGGCCGTGTGGAGATGGTGGAGCTGGTCACGACTGCGTTTGGGCCTCATCTAAATCCCCAAGGCCTTTCCTGTCCGACCAATCTGCTCTTTCAGGCCCACAGATGCCTTTGACGTCCAAGAGGAGTCTTTTGAAGAGTTAGATCCTGAGATGATTCCTCTGGTCTTGTTGGGTATCTGGGTTCTCTCAAGCCTCCTTCGCTAAGGGCTTCATGAAGACAATGAAGATGAGCGATTGGGAGGATTCGACAATCCACCAGGCTGGATCCAATATCTAGGGGG